TTTAGGAAGGATCAGCCGAAGAATGTAAATTAAATTAACTAACAAATAATTTCTCATTTGATTCAAACAGTTATTGTTGCTTCCATCAACAACACATGAGACTAGAATAACTCAATGACTCATGAGAATGTAGAAAAATTAAATTGTTTCGAATTTTATTCCGAAAATCCATAGGAACTAACTTTTGGGTCCGATTGTCTTGCGATATATCTGGAAGGTAAAAATGAAAAACGTTGTTTTTCGTTGATTAACGGGACCAAATCGATTGCTGTCATCATTCTTCCCACTTTTCAACATATCCCGTCATATATCAAAAGTTGCTACAAAAAGATTTTTGATAGGTATGTCTACTTGTTTGTATCAAAAAACGAATCGTTCGAAAATTGGGAAGAAGAAAATATCTGACACTGAGAAAGAAAACATTTTCGTCAAGAGATTTTGTGCCTGTCCCAAAAAGGAGGATAATTCATTTATGACAAGAAAGGGGTTTCTCAAACCAAGTCTAGTTGAATGAATTTATTCAATAGTTTCTAAGTCTCAAAAACCACTTGCCTGGTTCGAGAAGGCACTTTCTTGTTGTGAACAAATTACCCCTCACCAAACAAACACTGAACAAAGGTTTCATTTCTCGGTGTGAGATATTCTTTATCAGTACCTTGGTTATGGAAATAAGAGGATGAGATTTTTTCTCCGTGTAATATGAGACAGGCCTTTTATTTTATAATAAATATTTCACTGGATTAATATAAATTTCACTGCAATAAATGAATTGACTGAAGGCCTACACCTGGCGCGGCTTGGGTCAAGGGCTGCCAGGGCTCAAGAAAAATCCTTTTTATAATTCAACTCGAAAAAATTATTACTATTATTATTACTATTATTTGTTTATTATTATTAGTTCACTGGGCGCCAGTTAGTTTTTCGACAACTAACAATGTTTTCCCGACTTACCTAAGGGAATGGAAGTTGGAAGGCCCAAGAGTAATAAATAAGACAGTACAAAATATATAGACCATGTATAGTATAGTTTCGGTGCCGGGCGAAGAGTGATACGATGGGCCTTAGGCAACTTTTTGTGCGACAGAAAATCAATAATTTGGCGATAGCGCCCTAAATATCGTCGAGATTCCAATATGGCGTTGTAATTCAAATTCGACAATGAACTTATGGCTAATATGTCATACGGCAACTTACGAGATCCCCGAGAACGAGGGAAAATTGTATCGACACGAGAAGGGGAAAACAATGTCTCCTGTCACAAATATTTGAGAGCTTCTGTTCTCAACATTTCCTATTCTATTATTTTCTCACCCATCAAGCAGATAAAGTCCCAACACATCCGACAAGAACCACTAATCAAGTAATTTTCCCTCAAAACTTAAAATTACATGTTCCCAAATTTGAAATCATTCCACGAAAATCCAAATTATGGAAAATTATTCAATTTTCTCATTTCAATTCTTGAATATTTACACTTGAAATCCCTCAGACCCCCGCCCCTAATCAAGAACTATTAATGAATTCAAGCATTCGCCTCAAATACGCCTGAATCTCTCGTCTCCGGAAACCGAGTAACAAATTTATGTGTAGACAGACTGAAAGTTGAGTCCACCCGAAATCCCTATATTCTCTCTCTCTCTCTCTCTCTCTCTCTCTCTCTCTCTCTCTC